TATTCAGATGTTATTCCTAGGAAAACTGCCCTCAGACAGTGGCTACCTGGAGTTGTTCTATGTAGTATATATGAAACATGGGTTTCTGGAGTTGATTTCTCACTGGATGGATGCAATTATGGTTCATTACTGGTTGTGGGAGGAGTTTTGAGAGTCTGATCATCTCTAACATCCCTAATACGCTGTAGCTGTATAATTGCTAGGAATTAATTTCACATGCTTGCTACATTGGGTACAGGTGGGAGCGGATGCACTGCCTGGTGCAATGTTCTTGTATAATAGGAGATGGGATAGAACTAGTAAGCATCATTGATTCTAAGAAAAGAAAAATTAACGGGCTTAGATCTATTAATCAACAAGTTAGAACACAGCGTGAAAGTCATAAGGACTCCTTGGAATAAATTAGAATCTATCATCTGCAGGTTCTTAAGCAGACCCAGTGAAAGATCAGAAAAGCTGAACTCTAAGGCTAACAAGTGCACTAAGTACAGGACCCTGGGAGGCAGGAGATGCCTCTCAAACTAGATGTGTGGACATATGGAAAGGGGAATTACCTGCTTTCAAGAACCTTGAATCCCCCATTTCACCTCTGGGTCTGCGGAAACAGCTTACCACTGGACTGGGAAGAATTTATAAGTCCTTCCCTTTGCCTGATGATTAACCAATGCCTTAAGGGACAATGCTTTCCCTGCTGAGTACCTGTTGTCATCTTGCCTGGTGTGAAGCATACTTGTAATCAGAGTCACAGCTCAGCAAACCCAATTGGGAACATCTGGGCCTGTTACAGGAAGGGAGATATTTACCAAAAGATCTGTAGGACACATCAGTATGTGCACCATGGAACTGAGAGGGTAACCCAGCAGTAAATCTAAAGGGTCCTGGTACAAAGTGTGTGGGGGCAGCACTGTACAAAACAGCCTAAGGGAGAATTTATTGATATGTCAGCACAGCGGCAAAGGTCTTCTTCTAATAAACTTCTGGGATGGTTCAAATGGCTCAGCTGATTGGCCAAGGACCTGGCTAGAAAAGCAAGATTGGAGGGCTAGTGATAAGAGCTAGGAAAAAGGCATTTGGGAAGAAAAGCATGAGTTTCTTTGGACTAAACATCAATGCCCACCACAGAGCATCCAAGGCAAAGGTGTCACTAAACCAAGTGGACAGAATGACTCAATGAGTACACGTGAACCAGGTCCCTCACTTGGCTGCCTATTCATTCATTGCACAGTGAACTTCTTCAAAGAGTCACCATGGCTAAGAGTGTAGTCAGTATATGAAATGGTCTTATCACACATACAAAAATAATAACACATAAAAGGGAGGGAGAAAAGCTTTAGAGGTGATAGTGTTATGGCATAGATTGGAAGGATAATTTCACAAATGCATACTTACCCCTGAACTCATCAAGTTGTGTACATAAAATACGTACAGTCTTTTTATGGCAACCATTCTTCAATAAAGTGGCTTTAAGAAGAGTAGCCCTGGTAGAAGAGATGGGGACTAAGCATGGACTCAACAACATAGGAACTTTGTACCAGGCCTGAGATTATATAGTAGAAGAAACAAAAATCACATTCAGGATGTTATTTCATCTTACATATCCCATGCTTTTGTCTCCCTCTTCTCCAAACTCATAAAATGTTTTAACTGGGTTTGCTTTAAGATACAAGGAATGCACAGTCTGAACCTCTGTAAATATGCATCTTGTATTGTCTTAGACACATTTGTGAAAGCTGATTCTCAGCTTAACCTTAAACACTCTGCTAATTCCTGCAACCTTAGCCTGAGGTTGCACCACTAAATAAAACTCAGTTACCTGCTCTTTCAGCTATTTTGTTTGATAACGTTAACATTTCATAAGGTTAAGAATTCCCCTGTAATGAGATACATTTGTGTTGAAAGCTTCTGCTATATTTCTGTCTATAGACAATAAATTTAAGAAGATCATGGGTCCTAGCCTTGAATCTGTATACAGAATGAGACCGGGGGAGCAGAGAGTCTGTTTTTATTAATCATCATTATTCTGTAAAAATGTCAACTCCCCTCCCATTTCTACCCCATGTGGACTTTATCACAGCATTCTGCCTTTCATTAAATGAGACCCTGCTCATTTGTCCTTATGCCCTAAAATGCATCTGCTGAGGTCAAAGCTAAATTGTAGTGGGGGCAGAGAAAAAAGTTTGCCCTGCATCTACTGCCCTTGAACTAGGGGTTGAAATGATATCTTGATGAAAGCAATAATGTGAAAGTCTCTGAAAATTCTGATGTAATACTATTGTTTAACCATAGATTAATCTAGAAACCCACAGTCTTTGTCTGGTATAATTTCATGTAAACTTGCAGCCAAAAAAAGGGAAATTAATAGACCTTCATTTAAAATATGAATGAAGATTTTAAGAAGTGTATATTGAGAAGCAAGATACAATGGGAAATTTCAAAAGAATATTTCTGTACTTTGCTAAAAACTGAATACTTCATCATCATCTGAAGCACATTTTCTCCTTTTTTGGAGAAGCATTTAGATTGGTACTTTATAAAAGGTATAACATGAAAAAAATTGGATGAGATTTCTCTGTAATTTCCACCAACACTAAGTGTTCAGGGAAATTCACTCATATTCTAAGACATGGAGAAAGCAAAGGTTTTGGAATGAGAACTTAGTTTAAGTTGAAGCTTTGCAAATAAATACTCTCTGATCCTCAGGGTTCTGTTTGTTTTGTTTTGTGTTCATTTCTATATGAAGGTAACTCCACCTTACATGGTGCTGTGACCAGGAGTTTGGACGACATGTGTGGAAGTGCCTGCCACAGAAATGGTAAGATCTCACTAGGTCTTTATTTTTGCTTTTGCTTCCTTTCCTTAATAAAATAAATAAATAAAATCATCACTAGGTTACCAGTGTATGAATATGTGTGACTTTTGCAACATTTTATAGTTTTCTGAAAACCCAGCTGAACTATGCTATTTTTTTTTACAACATAATCTGAGGGAGATCTGTGAAATACATTTCATGTAGTACTGCACTTCAAATTCTGAAGTTCAAGTTTTGAAACAAACTAAAAGTTCAGGTGTAACAGTAGTTTCTTAGGAGGGTTTGCTTTTTGAGGCAAAATACTAAAATTCAAATTACCTTGTTTTTGTAACAAGATCTGGGTTTGATTCACAATCTACATGAATCATTTGCTTCATATTTCTTATCTGGGAAATGGATACAAACCAGTTATAGTTGGGTCAAAAAGATTTAATTGTGCAGGTTCGATTCCCAGTCAGGGTACATGCCTGGGTTGCAGGCCATGACCCCCAGCAACCGCACATTGATGTCTCTCTCTCTCTCTCTCTCTCTCTCTCTCTCTGTCTCTCTCTCTCCCTTCCTTCCCTCTCTGAAAATAAATAAATAAAATCTAAGAAAGAAAAACTTAAAAAAGATTTAATTGTAATAAGTGCTAAGAAAAAGATAAGAATATCAGTCACTTTTTCCATAAAAGTCAGCTACTTGAGTTAAAACTAATTTACCCAGATATTTTAACCCAATGTGGCAAGTAAACTATAAACTTTTTAAAATATTGTTATTTCACCATTATTTTTATTTTGGATGTTTCTCTTTTAGTCTCTTGAGAGGATTTGGTCAAGCAGGTGTCTGAAAAATATAATTGTCGTTAGTTTTACTTTGAGCTCAAGAATTAGTAAGATAGATTTCAAAATAAGTCATTACAAAAAATACACAACTCAGCGGCTCTAATTCTGATCCTTGAGCTAAACATCAAAACATAAAAGAAATAAAAACACCAGAGGACATTACCATCTTGCTAGTATCCCAGTAAACACTGCATTAAGTTAAACCAAGTTAAAATCTTCACTTTTGGATATCCATGTATTAGATCATTTTGAGAAAGTATCTGGATCACAATGTTAGTTTTAATTTTTGTTTTTGTTTTATTTTTACCTAAAAATCCAAACGGGTGAAACAATAACTATTTTAATATTTGTAGTAACCTACAGAAAAAAATAGATGTCCACTATCTAAATATATCTAAAAATAATATGTAGGGCTTGTTTAATCCTCACCTAAAGATGTGTTTGTTGATTTCAGAGAGAAAGAAAAGAGTGAGAGAGAGAGAGAGAGAGAGAGAGAGAGAGAGAGAGAGAGAGAGAGAGAGAATTATAGACGCGAGAGAGCAATACTGAGATCAGTTGCCTCCTATACGCACCCCTACCGGGACGCAACCCGGAACCTAAGTATGCGCACTGAGTGGGGATGCCATCTGCCACCTTTTTGGTATATGAGATGATGTCCCAGCCAACTACCCCACCAAAGCAGGGTAGGAGGTAGTTCTTTGTAAGTTCAGTCAGCTTCTCCATTTGGGCATATGGACCCAGGAACCAAAAAATGTCCTTTAGTAGTTTTCCACGAGTCTCCTTTTCCTCTTCCCAGAGTGAGTTGGTGACACAAAAATTACTAATACCCATATGACTTTCATCTTCATTTTGAAGTGCATACCTGAGGTGGATCTGTTAATTTGCACTTCTCAGATTCTCTTGGGTTATGAACAATGCACCCTGGAATCAAAACCAAAAATGGAGCTAAGGCATGCACTTTCCAGTAAGACGTCACAGAATCAAATGAATGGTTAACAAGTGAAGATGACACATCAGGTCTTTGGCTGACAACTTCATACATCCTTCTCATTATTTTTTATTTTAAATTGAGCACTGAGATAAATTCAACTTAGATCCAATGAAATTGCTCAATGTGATAGGAAGCATGGCTACATTGCCTTTTAGATGCTGCACTAAATTTCTTGGATAACCCGTGATAAAAGCAATGAGCTCTCATTTCTTCTGGGTCTTCACTCTATAAAAAGTGGACAACCCTAGCGCTGGGAAGGAACTGTGTCTGAAAAGTGTGTGATCTTTGGGCAGCAAATCCTGTGGGCAGGGGTGGCAATGCGCTACCAAACGGATGACCCATGAGGGCATTATGCTAAGTAAAACAAATCAGCCACAAAAAGACCTGGCAGGGGAGATACTGATCCCAAAGGTGGTTTTCACAGGGAGAGGCTTATCTGGATGCACTCCGGATGTGCTGACCCCTACGATTTCCCCTAATGTAGGAACCTCGGCTGCATAATTTGTGGTAGTGGGGGACAGCGTTGGGGCTTTCCCCTGAAAGGAAATACCGCATGATTCCAATTATATGAAGTCTGTGAGACAGTCAAATATAGAGACAAAAAATAGAAAGGTATTTTCCAGGGGCGGAGGATAGGAAGGTTTGGGGACTTGTCTTATGTGTACAGAGTTTGGCTATTTCCAGATGAAAATTGTTCTAGTTGTTCTGAGTGTCAGCTGATCATTTACTTCCCTTTCAGTCATTGATTCAGGGAATTTGATCAACTATACTAGACCTCTGTGTTTCACCCCTGACAGTCACTGCCAAATTAATTTTTCTTGGGCTTCTTACCCCAGGTTCTAAAGCTTTTGGAGACTTCCCTAATGGAGATAGCATTCCTTTTGCACATCACTTCTCCTTTTTCTGAGCCATTGTTTTACTCCTGAATGCATGCGAGAATCACGAGGAGAGTTTTTTAAAATGCTTCAGTCCTACCCTAGACCAGTGAAATCAGAAATGCCATAGGTGGGGACCAGGACATTTTTATATTTAAAAGCCTTATGAGGGGACTGAAATGCACAGTGTGGTTTGAGAACAATTCTTCTAAGCCTTATTTTCCTTCCCATTTAATCTTATTTTCCTTTGTTTTATTTTCTCCAGGTCTTATAAGAAATAGAAAAATTAGTATCTTATTAATCCATTCTAAAGTGTTAATAATTGGTATCACATAAAGACATTACCTATTCCATAAAAAAGGAGATAGGCATACTTGTATTAAGCAAAATATAATGACTATTTATGGCAATTGCTTGTATCAGAGCAATGTTATATTCAGTTTTTATCCAAGTGGAGATTTTTGCTCCTTTACACAACTAAGGAAGAGTTGATTACTTATCTCAACTACAATTAGGCCCACCTTAAGCTATCTATTTCATATGTGTCATAGTTTTATTCATCTCTTTGAAAAAAGACAAATTAGAATGTTTATGCAGCAGACTTTCTCAGAGCACAAAGTTCAGATTCTTTGGTCAAATAAATTTAGCCTATCTGCTATAATCACCTCCTGGAAATGACCATTTTTGTTTGCTTGTTTGTTTGTTTTTGTTTTGTTTTGTTTTTAGCTTGTGAAAAAACCCACTAAATAGCGAAACCAAACATACAGTTCTTTACATTCTCCAGATGTATTTCACCAATGTAACATTGTTTTGAAGTACATCTGGAGAATAGTGTTCAGCAGAACCCTCTTTGGGAAGTGCCATAACACAATGAATGGCATAGGTTGTATTCTTTTCTGGAGTTTTTTATATGTGTAGGTCCTAACTCCTAGCATCTCAGAATATATATAACTGTTTATTGACACAGGGTCTTTCGAGTGGTAACACAGTTCACTGAGGTCCCGAACCTATATGACTGGTGTCCTTATAAGAAAAAGAGATCAGGGCACAGACAAGATCATGGAAGACAAAGGGAAAGGACAGTCATTTACAAACCAAGGAGAGGGTGCTGACAATGAAATCAAACCTGCCAACACCTCGATCTTGCACTTCCAGCCTCCAACACTGTGAGAAATGAATTCCTGTTGTTTAAGTCACCCTGTCTATGGTACACTATTATGACAGCTGTAGCAAAGTAATATATACAATAAAGGCATACAGTGTGTATTTTCAGGCATTTGTTACTTTCATGAAGATAGGGGTTCAGAAAAGTTTATTAAGATAGCCAGAGACACGTTTAATATTGACAACTATAATGTTAACACTACTCTAAATCTTCAGTGCACTACAGCCTGTAAAACATGGCATTCCTTATGATTCCCAATACCCTGCTGAAGTCAGAATAGAAAGCGTTTTCTGCCTATTTCATGAACGAGGGGAATGTCTCATAGAAGCGGAGTAACTCACACAGAGGCACACGTTCAGAGTGCTGGTGACTGCAGCGGAGCGCAGGCCCTCTGGTTCCATGCCCGGGACTAAAACACAGAACAGAGCCATTATTGCAGAATTGTCTCACCACCAACAACCAAGAAACACTTCCCCAATGGCAAAGTGATAGCCTCCTTATGCACTGAAGAATCACCCCGGTAAGAATAATTAACAGGCTTCCATCTGCAGGAGCTTTTTCCTAGCAGTTATGTATTTCTACAAAAATTAATTAACTACTTATAGTTGAGATAAGAAATGCTCTGCAGTCAGATGACTTGCTCAATATGCAACATAATTTTTATCATGGGATTTGCAATTATTTCTTTGGATACTAGGAAAGATGCAGCCTATTAAATGTGTGAAGGTGAGAAATTAGGGATATGAGAAAATTGATTCTATATAACACAATGCCCTAAAAGAGGAGAAAGAAGATATAAATTAAGTTTATAAAGAATGAAAGAGATTGAAGAGCCTGGAAAAATATATTACTCTATAACATTAAATATAAACTACTATTTTACCTGATATTTTGGGAATTTAAACATATTTAATTCAGCATATAATGCTTGGAAGGGTTTAACAAATTAGCACATATTTTAGTTAAATGAAACAAAATCCAATAATATCATTCTAATAAAAAGGCATTTTTACAATATGATTTTTATTATATCAATTCACCATCATAATTGATACGAATTGCCACTTTGATCGTCCTGTATAAACTAGAAATCACCAATAATGCATGTATCCACATTTACACTGGTGGACCAGTGAAGGCATTATACAACTTATTAATACCTGGGTCTTGAATTATTTAAATTCCTGATACAGTTTTGAGTCATCATATATTATACATCTCAACTAATCAATATATTGTATGTGAATAAATAATGCTTCTTTCTTTCCTTTACCTGTAAGTTTTTAGAATAATGAATTAATGGGACTGGATTTACTTTTCCATATTTTAATGGTTAACATTTCCATATTTTGAGAAAATGCAGGAGGAACAAAAAACCTATAAAGCTTGTAAATGGCCCTAAATCTACCAACTGTCTTCAGAATAAAGATTTTCCTTTAGGTGACTTTAAGTCATTCTTTTACTTTCATTGTAATAAATCACCATCATTATCTACTCACTCATGTGCACTTGAAACATGACAGGATGGAGTGTCAGCAACTCCACAAATATGCACATTCTACACATAATCAAAACTGCAACATAATGACTAACATCATGCCAAGGGGGAAAGTAAGACTTCTAAAAAAAGATCCATGAAGGGATTTGGTTCAGTCATTTTTAAGTAGTAAGCAGAGGTTATTTCTAAAGTGATCAGCCTTAATCACGCTGAAGTATTTGCAATCAGCATTGCGCTGCTTTTCCAGGCTCAGGATTGAATGTTGCAAAACGCTGCACTCAACACACGCTTGCTATGAAATATGCTACAGTATTGACAATTTTACATCAGCTAGTTCAACGAACATACTCATGAAGTGAGATTGCCTTTTCTCCTGATTGTCCCAAATTAAATGACACATGTGAGAAAATACTACGTAATTTAGAAAATATCTTTTGCATTTAAGTATAAGTATTTTAACTTTGAGACTTCACTGTTCACCACAAATGTGAAACAATCTAAACCTTAACAGAAAGGCAACAAATAAATGTAGTACAGAGTGTGTGTGTGTATATGTGTGTGTATATAGATAGATAGATAGATAGATAGATAGATAGATAGATATAGCGATAGACAATGTTGGTTCATTATAATGCATATTAACTAATAAATTTTAATAAGTTGACAATATGCTGACAATAAAATGTGACAAGAAAAATGCAGGAAACCTTATTAAATGTGGATTCAATCATATAATAAATGTACTGAAAATACATCAAAATATTTTTAATGCTGTCTTTTTATAAAGATTAAAGGTGAATTTGTTATCTTTTGAAATATTTTTATGATTTTTAAAGTTTCTAACAATGTCATGACATAATTTTATGATCACAAACACATCTTTGGATTGATAGCTCTCCTACATACTCCAGAGCACGATCCATTTAAATTCACTGAAGCACTGCCAAGGTCAACCACACCAAACATTCTTCTATTCCCTGGCAAAGTTCCAGTTCCTTAGAAGATATCTTGTGCTTCAGACTTTCTGACTCTTCATTCTGCTCATACTATATGCAAAGAACAGATCCAGAATGCAGGAAGCTTTGTCAGAGCCTGATCAACCATAACAGCTTTATTTTATTATCTTGTAGTGTCTTTTTTCATGGGCCTGTACTAATTGTATGACTTCTCTTGACCAGCATGTAACAAGAGAAAGGCCATGGTTATGCAGCAGGAGAGTCAGCCAGTCACAGTAAGGGCGAGATGGACTGAAAGGTGATACCAAAGAAAGAGCACATGATGCAGAGCTTAGACATGGGGCTTAAACCTTATCCCGACAGTTAGTCACCCAGCACACCACGTAACCTCTCTGAGTCTGATTTCCCTGTGTAATATGGGGAGAAGCAGTGTCTATATCATGTTCACTATTCTGGACCTATGGCCACATGGTGAACAGTAGGCAACTTCATTCCCAAGCAGAAGCAAGCAGACCCCATAAACACAATGCTATCATTTTCCTCTGAAGAAATACAAGACTGATTTCTTGCTTTCTTCTTGAAACTGTGAAGATGAAATCCGACATTCTGTCTTTCCTCTGCTTAATTTTGCCTTTCAAAATATGCACAATTCCCATAAGATGATCACCAGATTTCTTAAAAGAAATCTTGCAGGCAAGAAGGGGCTGGAAAGAAGTATTCCAAGTCATGAAAGGCAAGGACCTTACACCCAAGATTACTCTATCAAGCAACGCTATCATTTAGAATGGAAGGGCAGATAAAGTGCTTCCCAGATAAGGTCAAGTTAAAGGAGTTAATCATCACCAAGCCCTTATTATATGAAATGTTAAATGGGCTTATCTAAGAAAGAGAAGATGATCAAAAAATGAACAGTAAAATGACAAGAAACTCATAACTATCAACAAATGAACCTAAAAAACAAAAACAAACTGAGCAAACAACTAAAACAGAAACAGATTTACAAAAATGGAGATCACATGGAGTGTTATCAGTGGGGAGAAGGGGG